TAGTTCAGGCCTGTAAGCCGATTGTTTAGATTAGCTTTGCGGAGACAAATATCTACCTCATTTCATAATTTTCCTTTGAGGTCTGACCCAAAGTAATTTTTAGCTGACAACTTTTTATTTTAATTTTACTTACTTTTTTAATCTTTCATTTACTTATTTGGTATGAGGTCTCACTATGCAGCTTAGACTCGTGGTGATCCTCCTGTCTCGGCCTCCTCAGTGCTGGGATTATAGGTGTATACCTCCACACTCAGTTTTGTTGGCACGGTATCCCCCGGGGTTCTGGGGCCAGCATGGCATGTGGTACTGGGTATCCAACTCAGGTTTGTGCGCTTGCCAGGCAGGCACTTAGACCGCTGAACTAGCTCCCTAGCCCCGTGACTTTTATATGCATTAAGTTAACTAGAACAAATTGAGCATCTCAAGTGAAGTTTGTTCTTTATTTTTATTTATTTATTTTTTTTTGTTCAGAGGCAAATTCACAGATTTATTAGGATATATCCACTCCCGATTAACTCCTACATTTCAACAGCACTGTTGGATATCATTTCTGTTGCCAAATCATGGTTTGTTACAGGTGTGCATTAAATAATTTATGACTGCACCGCAAACAGCCAAGCTGACTTGGAATGGAGCAGAAGCTCTCTCTTGGATGCCTTGGATGAAGAAATGCCTCAAACTGGCTTCCTTCTCTCCTGGTGGGAAGGAAAGGCTACTCCATGGAGTAGTGGCATCATCCCAGCCTCGGCAGGAAGTACAGCTTCTCACAGACCCCAGCGTCTCCAAGAGCCGAGCGCTGGCACTGCTAGGCAGGCCCCTGGGAATAGAAGAAACACTTCTGGTCTGGTGATTTCTTCACGGACACATCTGCCTTCTGGGGCCTGGGTGTGCCGGGCTGGCGGGTGTGCCTCCCTCGCAGCTCCTCTTCCTCTCCCGGCCTCCACGACCTGCGCGTCTCCCTTCTACATGTTTCCACTCTGGAGCCGGGTGCTGTGGCCTGAAAACTTGTCAAGTGCCGTCTGGTCTGTTGAAGAAACCCGAGCAAACGCAGAGGGAAAGCGAGGCCGGGAGCAGGGCTGTTCTTTTAATTATTGATGTCCCTGATTTGCTTGGGAAGCTGCAGCATTTAAATATTTTAATTTGGCCATAGTTAAGACAGTGAAACTTGGCAACTTTAATCATTAGGGATCCCACCACCATAGAACCTGGCCTGACTATGGTTTAGTTCCACTCCAATTATTTTGTGGTGTAGGTTTGATCACAGTAACAATGTCTTGGGCTGGAGAGATAGCTTGGAGGTCTAAGCGCCTCTTAGAGGGCAAGTACAAGGATCTGAGTTCAGTCCCTGGTACCGAATGCTGTGCCAGCTCCAGAACCCTGGGTGCACCGTGCCAGCAACCAAAACCAGGCGTTGTAGTGCCCACCTGTAATCCCAGCACTGGGAAGGCTTAGACAGGAGGATCACTATGAGTCCAAGCTGCATAGCCAGAGTCTGTACCAAATAAATAAATAACAAATAAATAAAAATTTTTAGAAAAGAAAACAATGGCAATGTCTTACTGATTCCTTTACATTTATTGGGGGGAAATAGGACTGAGAGGTTTGTTATTCTGTAGCTTTAGCTGTGTTTTATGAAAAGATTGACTCTGGAGCAAGATATATATTATCAACATCAATTTATGCTTCAAACAATTACCTGTACTTGCCTTTTAAGAAATAAACAACAATATTTAGTCATTCAGATGGAGCAGCCCCTCCTAAATATAGCACCTTATTTGGAAACTCAGAGATTATTTTGTTTATAACATTATAATATATTGGTATCTCATTTGTCAAATTCATTCCATCCCAAATTCCTGTTCACAGAACAAAAGTTTGAGAACTGAACATATTTTTCCCATATGAAATAATGGAAAACCAAATAATTGGTTCTGAAGCCCCAAAATTACTTACAAAGTTCATTTTTCTAGGATTTTAACAAATTGTGCAATGATTTTTTTTTTAAATTCTATCCTGGTTCTCATACTTTTCCTTTTACCTTTACTGCTGGCATCACTAACTGTCTTTGGAACCATGGTTATAAAATTTTGCACAAATAAACCCAGTGATGAATGTTTTAATGCCTGATCACAAGCATGTATGTTGCCTGGGTGAGAGCAGAGCTTCGACTGAAGGGTCGCCCCTTCGTGTCCACAGGGAGGCACAGTATGACTCACTCTCATGACTCATTCTAGGCCCATGCAGGTTTTTTTAAATTTGATTTTCCTTTTGATTGTAAGCTGATTTTTTTTTTTTTTTGAGCTTTATTATTTGAGTAGTAGAAAGTTTGGCCTTGAAGCTGTTTAATAACTGAGGTATCACTGCATCTTATGTCACAGTGCAATAATGAAAATATAAGTGTTCAGGTTTTGTACATTGTACATTGCACTACTTTAGGCGCACATATATTTGTCTCTGAAAATAGATGTTTTTAGGTAAAGATACATGTTTAAAATGTCTTATACAGTGATGACAAAACAGAAAAGGAATGTACCAAAGCTTTCCAAACAGACTCTGGATTTAGAGCATTTTTATAGTAAACATAATGAATAGCAGTAAAGAAAAATGCTGTTTTAGGCATATGTTCTCAACACTTTTCTAGAATTGTGGAGTTTGGGCTCTGTAGGAAACCGGAATTTCTCTGGTTTGACCCACTTCTTATAGGTAAAGATGTGAAAGGGCTGGATGGGTTTTATCCTGTGGTCTAGGTGATTTGTTGCAGAACTAGAAGGGTGGTTTTTGTTGTTGTTGTTGTTGTTGTTTTTGGTGGAACCGGGGATTGAACTCAGGCCCTTGCGCTTGCCAGGGAAGCGCTTATTCCACTGAGCCATCTCCCCGGCCCCTTGTTGCAGAACTAGGAATTACATTCTGGGTCCAGATTGTCAGTCTAGTGGAAGGGCTGCCTAGAAATCCTGACACCATCTTCTATCACCATTAATTTAGTTTGACAACTTAGTATTAAAAAAGTACCTTGCAGTTTATCAAGGTTCTTCTGGCAGTGTGACTTTTTAAATTTCACAGTAATCCTGTGCCATAAGCAAGCTGCAATTTCTGCTTTCATAGGGGAGCTTACGGGTGTTTCAGGAATGTACTACATGTTGTGTCACATTTTTGTGAATGAGTGCAACAGGTGAATGTTGAACCCAGATCTCTAACTGTTGAAACCAGGTTTCTGCTCTTTTAATGACCTTTACATTTGGATAATTATGACTCAAAGTTAGAGGAGTTAAAGATTGAAAAGACCTTCAAAATAAGAATTTATCTGTTACTTAAAAACAAATGTTTTGTAGAATTTACAGTGGGAAGAGTTAAGTGTTAAATATATTTCATCTATTAGAAGAAATTGTATTATTTAATTCAAATTCAAACACTCGCCTTTGAGTGTAATATATAAGGAAACATTTAAGCTACTTGTATATCCAGTAAATTAGCACAGCAATATAACCAAATTAATGATCACTACAGTTCTTTTTATCTTACACCTCTCAGTTTTTTGTAGTAGTTGAAGTTCCACCAGGGTCTTCAGACTGAGCTTCATCCCCAGCAAATTTTTATATATTTTTTACTTTGAGTCTGTTTCTCACCACATTGCCCAAGTTAGGCTTAAACTGTTGATCCTCCTGCCTCAGCCTGCAAGTATGGGGATTACCGGCATGTACAGCTCACCTGCTGTCTGTTCATATTGTGTGATGCTTGTGCATCTGTGGCATTGTCCCACTTAGCTGGCAGGGAGATGTGTGCTGGGGAAGGGCATGTGCTGTCAGTGCAGTGGAGTCTGCCTTTCCTGTAGTAAGGCTCTTTCCACAGGAATCCTTTCTGAGTCGCAGAAATATATTTATGTATTTGGTTATATAGAAAAACTGCATGCCATTTAAAAAAAAATACTTCTGTGTAAATTCTATATGTTTAAAGTACTCTAAGGTAATGTAACTATAACTGTTAAGAGTATAACATAACTACCTGGAAGTAGGAATTAGCTAATTCAATATGGCTTTTGTGTTTATCCTTTTGCATTAAAAAAAGTTTTTCACTACACTTGGTGATTTTAGTGAACATTTGGTATTTGTAAATTCTCCACTAGCCCAATTTGACCTTTTTATAGCATAAGAAGGGATTATCAAAGTTATCAAAGGAACTCATGTTAGAACAAGACAAGTGTAATATTAGTAAATTCTGTGTATAAAAATACATAATCATAACCATTCTGCAATTGGATTTAAATTCCTGTGTGTGTGTGTGTGTGTGTGTGTGAGTGAATGTGCACATTTACTGTTTAAGGACAGCTGATAGTTCATAGACAAGAAAGCATGACACAGACTGTGTCTAGTAGAGTAGCACACAGCAGACATTTGATAAATATGTGGTGAATGAAAGAATGAATGGGTAGTGACCTAGTTACCCAGCTGGCATAGAGTTCTGGGCCTTAGTTTCATCGCTTCTGGTGCTTTGTTTTGTTTTGTTTTGTTTTATTTTTTGCTTACAAAGTTTCTAGATAATAATCTAGAACAGGGTTACATCTAATTCTAAGTAGCACCTTAAGAATGCTTAAATCTAAAATGTTTTTTTCCAATATTGTCATAATGCAACAGGAGATGTATAACTAAATATACTGAATTCATTTTTGTAGACATGTAAAAAACTTGCAAATGTAGAATTGTTAAAACTAAGTACTTGACAGTTTACTAATGCTGCATATGAGGAAGTGAGAGTGACTAATTTTAGAATAGAATTTATGGAGAGATGAATATTTTTATACATCTAAATATCCAGACATGTTTCTTCCAGTAGGATGAGGCTCTAGGGGAAGGCATGCCACCATTTCATGCTGTTCCAAGGAAGAGTACTAGAAGAATACTGTGTCAGTCAAGTTTGTTTTGTTTCGTGGGGGAGGGTGATCTATAACAGACATTTAAAATCATCTTATAAAGACAAAAGATTTATTTTAGCTTGCAAATTTAAAGGTTCTAGTCCTTGATTGGTTGGCCCTCTTGGCTTTGGGCAAGGCAGCATGTCATGGGAGGAATACATCTTGAAGCAGAAGCAAAAGAGATAACGGAAGTGACCCCACTTCTTAAAGGTATCGCAGCTTCTCAGTGGCGTACCCTGGGGACCAAGCCTTTAAAGTATAAGTGTTTGGGGGACATGTAAGATTCAAACTGTGGCAAGCTGGGTTCATCCCAACATTTTCCCATTTTCAGTTTTTCTTTTTTTCAAAAGCATTATTAGCCACTGACTGGTCCTTTTGTGATAGAATAATATCTGCGTCCTTTCGCCCTATTTTTCTTTGAGTCCTCAAGGTCAAATCTATTTTCACAATGCCTTTCTCATCTATTCTCTCGTTAGTGTATGATGAAAATTTCCAGAATTTGTGTATGGTCTCATGACAGATTGAAAAACAGAAATAAATTTAAGACTCCAAATTTCAAATATTTGATTTATATCTAGATGCTGCCCTAAAGCCTCATACGATCCTAGAAAGGACCTTGGCAAGGTGATTGATTGAGTTAAGGGTATTATAGCTAATTTTCTGTCAGGAAGTGTGGTCTTACGGGAAGAGTGGTCAGAGAAAGCTGACTGACAGAGTTTATCTCCCTTGCAGGCTCCTCCATTTGGTCTCTGTTTCCTGTTCTGCGTGCCACGAGCCGCTTTCCTCCGGTGTGTCCCCTGCCATGCTGACATGCCTTGGAGCCCGCCGACTGTGGACTGAAAAGTTAACAAAATAAATTCCTTCCTTAAATTGTGGCTGTTGGGTGTTTCATCCTACCAAACAGAAAAGTGACTAAGGCAACAGAAATATAAGGTAATAACTCTTTTCTCATTATATTCATTTGGGGGCCAGAACATTTTTTTCATAAAAATGAAACTTAATGAGTTTGTTGTTTTGTTACTAAGTGTTTTTAGGGAAGGGGTCTATAGGGTGTTCAGGTTCTCACTACTAGATCAGACTGTAGTGATCCACCTATTAACAGCCTCCCAAGAGCTGGGATTACGGGCGTACTCCACCATGCCCAGTCTCAAATACCGCCCAGTCCCCCCCCCCCAGTCTTAATTGCCATTTCAGCATGTGCTGGGGTGGGGCCAGCATGGCAGGCCCGGGGATTGAACCCTGACCCCTGCACTTGCTCTTAGGCTCTTTAATCTGCTGAACTATTTGACTGGCCCTACTAAGTGAATATTTAAACATTTAAGCTACTAGTATAATACATACAAATAGAAACATGTTATTTAGGATCATTAGTGATGTTTTTAACTAAGCTTTTACTTTAAGATAATTATAGATGCACAAACTATACAGGTACCCTTTTCCCAGCAGTAGCATCAGCTTGTGAAATTATTAATTAGTGCAATAGCGCGACAAAGATATTGACATTAATGCAATAAAGATGTGGAGCATTCCTATTACCACAATGACCCCTCATGCTTCCCTTTCATACCCCCTTACCCTTATCACCACTCTTCTGTCACCTACTTCTATTACATTGTTATTTCAAAAACTTTATAGAGATAGAATGATATAGTGCACAACCTTTTTCAGTCATTGAGTTATCTGGAGATCTACCAGGTGGCTGTGTGCTTCAGGCGTCCCTTGCTTTTTATTGCTAAGTTGTTTTCCGTGGTGTGGATGTACCATAGTTTGATTAACCCTTTACTGTTATGTGGGTTGCTCTTAGTTTCTGGCTGTTACACCTGAAGTTGCAGTAAACATTTATGTACAAATTTTGTGCCAGCATCAGTCTTAATTTCCCTGGAACAGATGTCCAGGAATACAGTTGCTGGATCACATACCATTTCATGTTTTTTTTTTAAGAAACTGCCAAACCTGTTCAGAGTGGATAAAGAGATCCTGAGTTCAGACACCCACTGCTTTATACTAAAGTAACTATCAAATCTGGTTTGTGACCTACACAGTAGGACATTTTTCTTGAGTTGATAATTAGATAATGACACTTTTTCCAGGCTCTTGAAAGCAGAAGAGCCTAAGGCCTTATTCTATTTGTAAGTTACAGGACATGGTCTAGTATGCTGATTGCCTTGCAATGCCACAAGTAAATGCAGTTTTCCCCTGCACACTTATTAAGTTACACATTGCAGCCTCATTTATGAGCCTGAGAACAATTTTTTTTTTTTAAGTGCATAATGTGTTCAAGAAATCAGAAGACAGAAAGGACACCATACTCCCTTTCAAAGAGAAGAGGGGGCAGAAAAACATGCTGTGTAGAAGTTGCCAAAATGGAGGTGATGTGCAAATAGCAGCAGGAGCCTGAAGGGAGGGAGCTGTGCCAAGTTGCGGAAGAATCTAATGGAAAGAATGAGAGGAGTTTGCCAGGACAGAGAGGAGAGGGAATTCTTAGATGCCTGGTGCTGATTAGCCAAAGGAACCATAAATGGTTCCCAGCTAACTGTACTTTGATGGTATTTCTTAGCTCGTCATCTTTTCCTCTAAATCTGTTAGGCTAGGAATAGTGAAAACTCTAAATCTAGGTCAGATGTAGCATCAAGCGAAGGTATCTGAATAATAATTCAGATACATTCAAGTATGCACATAATGGGTAAAAAACAGTAAATCTTTATGTAAGCTCTGTAAGTACCAGGATGTACTTGTCCTATAAACCAGGAAGAACAGGCGTATTGATCATAAGTGGAATTGAGTAGTAAACAGTGTCTTATAAGTCCCATTCTTTAGCACTGGCTGTTTTCCAATATATTACTTAAAAGGTCTTATGGTAATCTTAGCTAATATAATAGTTTCTTTCTCTTCACTGTTCCTGGACTATTATTAAATAGATATGTACTTCATAAAAATACACATTCTGCTACATCTTATCTGTGTGTTTTGGGAAGTGTTTGAGGCTTACTTATATTTTGGTGTGTTAAACTGCTCATAGACATTAAAGGTAATATCTAAAATCAAAATTACATACAAACCTGGGCATATTATCCTCTTCCCCACAGTCACTTAATTTACTGTTTTGTTACTTTGAAGCAAGAATGTATTGGATTATTCTTCCTTATTAGTTATATGTTGTTTGGGTTTAGAATAAAATCTATCTGAACTTTTTTTTCCTTACCTTTGTTTTTTGTTGATTTTATGTTTTCTTAGTATATGTCTGGAATACATACTGAGCACATTCCTCATGGAGATTTGGATCTTAATTCTTTTTTAAATCCCCTTTTGTTTCCCTCCATCTCTCTTACTTATTCTTTATATTGACCTTTTGAAATAGGCACTATTATTATCCCATTTTCCATCTGAGATGGAAACAGACACAAAGGGAATTGAGTAACAAGGCTAGTAAGTGGCCATGCTACCATTTGGCCCCTCAGATTAGAGTCTGTGCTTGTAACTGTTTTCATTTAATGTTTGTTTCATGGTAACCTAGAGATATTTCAGGGATGGAAGTAATGCAGTTTTAGATGGTATTTTAAAAAGGAATGTGTTAATTTTCCTCATGAAACGATTTTATGATGAAACGAAAAAGAACCAATATTACTTAGAGATTTCGAACATAGCTAAAATAGTCTTAAGATAACTGTTTTCTTAGTCATTGTGTAGGAGGCTAGAACTGCAGTGTATTTACTTAAGGAACAGAAAAAATTGAGTAAATACAAAAAAGATCAACAATGTGTGGACTTTCCTGCTCCCTGACTGGGAAGCCAGGATCTGTGGAGATACCTGTCCGCCTGGGGTATGCGAGGGTTTTTCTCTCCTTAGGCTCGCAGACCTTGCGCTCACATTTTAAAAGTTTATGTTCAGAGTGAAAAAACAATCTCCATACTTTACCAAATACAAGAAATATTTTTTTTGGTGAGGTTGATCCTGATAGGAGTTTAGATCACAAGTGCTGTTGTTGTTTTACTATAGGTAGTTTTATTTTTAAAAAACTCAGTTTATCTAAGGTTAGGTCAAGCTGTCCTGCCTGAATGCTATCCCAGACTCCCTAATTCACAGCCATTCTTGTTCATCTGTTAAAATCTTAATGCTGTTTTTAAAAAATTCTTTTAAAAATAGAAAATACATAGATGGGGTTGTATCTGCTTCATGATTCCTAAAGGTGCTGTGTACCTTGCAGATGTGGGACTTATGAAAAAGTAGCTGATGGTTTTTTCTTGTCTGAGATGCGCTGGTCCGGTTTTTTCTCTATAACTAATGCTGTCACAAATCTGCAGCCTATTTTTCCCCCTTTTGAAAATATTTTTGGCCACAAAGCCAAAGATAGCTAAATGCTAGTTCTTGTCATCTTTGCTTGTATTCACATCAATCCTGTGAATAACTTTTAGCTTACTTATTATGTGAAATTTTAACAGCAGGTTTTTTTTTTTTTTTTACTGTCTTCTCCCATCAAATCCTGGAGGCTCTCTAAACATTTACAGAAGGGATAAAGAGAGCTGCTGCCTTTGAAGTTGAGTTTTTTAACCCCTCAGTGCCTGAGCATCTGGAAAGATGGAAGCCCTTATATGAGGGCGACATTTCCTGCAAGGCTTACACTAAATTTGAGAACAGGACTAGTGTTGTGTTGTTGAGGACATACACATGCATACACACACATAGCCTGACTGATAAGCAAGACCAAATGAAAGTGGAGTACGTATAGGATTTTGAAATCTTACCATTTCTATGTTCTGCGCAGCAAAGGTCAATTTTATTGAACCTTGAATTATCTTTGAAACTACATTTTTAAGACCCTGTCTTTGACTTAATAATGTAAATGCATAAGATTATTGAGCAGCACAGTTGTGATTGGGATGACAAATGCAAATATGTTACATAATATTTCATAAATTCTACTGTTTGTACATTGTAGAAATTAATTATGTTTCAAATTTAATTTGAACAGTGAAGTACTTAAAAGTTTCAGTTAGCAATACAAGTCAGTTCTTTTTATGTTAATGTCTTTTCCTTTAAGCACAAGTTTTTTTCTCATTAGGATCTTGACAGCATAAACAATTCCTAGCTCTACCCAGCAATTTAGTTTTTCTTTGTTGACCATTAACTGGGTTGCCTAAATTTTAATTCTTTTACCTGGAAAATTAAGCTGCAATAATATGTTGACACTTTAACTTGTCTTAATAGATACTAATTTTGCTTGTCTGTGTTTATCTAGAAAAAAGGACCGTGGCTTAGTCAGATACATCTCTATCCATTAAAGGAAACCAAACCTTTAACATATGAGGATACAGAAACTCTGTCAGTTTGATCCAGAATGGGAACAACAAGTGATGAGATGGTATCTGTGGAGCAGACCTCCTCTTCCTCATCCCTAAACCCCCTGTGCTTTGAATGTGGCCAGCAGCACTGGACCAGAGAAAACCACTTGTACAACTACCAGGATGAGGTGGATGACGACCTTGTCTGCCACATTTGCCTTCAGCCCCTGTTGCAGCCACTGGACACACCTTGTGGACACACATTCTGCTACAAGTGCCTCCGAAACTTTTTACAAGAGAAGGATTTTTGTCCATTGGACCGGAAAAGACTTCACTTCAAGTCGTGTAAGAAGTCTAGCATTCTAGTTCATAAACTTCTAGACAAATTATTAGTTTTGTGTCCATTTTCTTCAGTGTGTCAAGATGTGATGCAGCGCTGTGATTTGGAGGCACATCTTAAAAACAGGTAAGCAATACAGAAAAAAAAGGAGTAACTAGATTTTATAGAAAGGTTCCTCCAGTGAATAAACACTTTATTAGAAATATACCAGGGCATCAATAAATAAATAGACAAATAATACAAAAGACACAAAAAAATAAGTTATATGGAACAGCATTCAATGTTATGGTTTATTACAGCTATAGTAATGAAGTACCATCACTTGGTTGATTGTGGCCAATTCTAGTACTGGAAATGGAACCCAGGGTCTTTCCACTAAGTTAGATCCCAAGCCCTTTTTATGTTTTGCTGAGGTCTTGCTAAGTTGCCCAGATGGGACTTCCAATTTGCAAACTTCCTGTCTCAGCCTTGCAAAACCTGGAAGTACAGGCCTGCACCTGGCCAAGGAAATACTGTTAAATACCCATTAATATTTTTTGTTTCTGTAATGAAATTTAATTCAGTAGGTAATACACTATAATAATGGACTTTTTAAGGGAAGTTTGACAATTTAAAAACTGTACACGTAAATTTCCTTTTATTTAGTTGCTAGCCTGAGGTGGTGAAGCTATGGCATGTGGTAGTCAGAACTTCATAAACATAGGAATAAGCAGGCCATTTTATTTCTAGGTTGGGATAAAGACATTTCATCATATTCATTAGAAATAACTAAGACATACGAGAAAGAAAAAAATGATATATTAAACCGTTTGTAGAGAAACTGCTGAACTCTAAAATGTGGTGTTGTCTAATAGTTGGGGTTAAGAAAGAGTATGGTAGGTAGATTCCTGAAAATGTGTGTGTAATGTAGCCTTATATTTTGGGTATCCTCTGTCACCAAGAGGCTTAGAATCTGACCATCCTGCAGAGACTTTCTGGAAAGTGGTGGCAGAATTTGGAATATGCTCATCTAGATCAAGTGTAGTTACAGATGAAAAATAGCTTAGGCTTATTTCTGTCAGTAGAACTTATCTTTTAGGGTATAAAATTTATCTCATGTTATCCTTTTATTAATTAGCAGTTATGGGGTTTAGAGGAACCAAATAAAATCTTAGTTCAATACTTATGATTTGGAGACCAATGTGATAAATATTTAACACATTTTGAGTAATGTTCAGTTAACACTCACGGGAGACTTCAGCGTGCAGTTGAAAGACACTAGTAGTATTTTCTCTTATGGCACTGTAAAGACTTGGGCATTGCAAGCACTCATTTATAGGCTGGTGAAGGCTAAGCAGTTATGTCCTTTTGAAAGTTGTTTCTCTAGATGTGCTTATTAAAATTTGGATTACTCATAATTTCCAAAGCATCATAGACCCATAATACAAAAGTTACAATGAAAAGCTAGGTGATTGGGAAAGGTGGTTAATTGTCCAATATGAACATCTAAGAGTTGATTTCCAAGTGTACACATACAAAATATTAAATTGTAGCATGATTTTTATATTTTCTTTGAATATATATGATAGTAGTCATACTTTTCCCTCATTTCAATCAAAATACTGAAATTTGTGTGTTTATTACCCAGCACTTAACTCTAATTAATACAATTCTTTCTACATTTGTTCAGCAGATATTTATTATCTACTGTGTGCTACTTACTGTTCTTCCTGCTAAATAGTCTTGGCAAGCTGGCAGCAAATTAGAATTCACTGCCAGGTTGAAAGTCCTCTAAGGCCAGGGCCAGGTCCTTACCACTCTTTGCATTGCCCAAAGTTGACGTTCATCTAATGCTTGTCAGTTTATTGGGTAACTTACATTCTGGTTACCCATTGCTGAGAAATTAGCCCCCTCAGATAGTTACATAAAATAGGCATTTGAAGAGCCAGGGAGATGGCTCAGTGGAATAAGTGCTTCCCTGGCAAGTACAAGGGCCTGAGTTCAATCCCTGGTTCTGCCAAAAAATAAATAAATAAAATAAAATAAAAAAATAAATAAATTAAATAGGCATTTGATTCTGCAAGTCAGAAGTTCAGCTAGGACACAGGAGGGATGGCTTCTCTGAAGTATATCTGGGCCATTGCTAGGAATTGCTGACAGCTAGGGACCATAGCATTTGGAACTAGAGTGTGTCTTTCCCAGATGGCTTATTCTTCATGCATGTGCCTAACTTCTTGGTGGGGTGACTAGAAGTATGAGCTCAGCCAGGGCTTGTCAAGGGACCATACAGGTGGCCCTTCCAGCATGGTGGCCTCAGGGTGTTTAAAGTTCTTACTTGATGACTCACTGTTCAGGAACAAGAAAGAATCTGCATGACTTGGTGTGATGTAATCTTGCAGTCACACGGCATCTCTTCTGCTGAAAGTACTCTGTTGGAAACAGTCATAGACCCACCCAGACCCAGGAAGCATCAACTTCACCTTGTGATCATAGTACCAAAGCAACACAAACTAGTGGAATGATATTGTGAGGCACGGAATATGAGCAGTGTGATTGTGGCATCTTTGCCCACGTTCTTGTTAGAAATTGCTAAATTTTTTCTGTAAATTTCATTGAAGTTTAAGAATCTGAACATCAGCAACAATAAATCATTATAAAGGCTAGGGAGATAGCTCAATAGAATAAGTGCCTGCCTGGCAAGTGCAGGGTCCTGAGTTCATTCCCAAGTACTGAAAAACAAAAATATATAATGAACAATGACTCATTGTATACATGGCTATTACATGCCTTTGTCTTTGGATTTTTAGGGATTGGCAGTCTTAGCTATTGGTAGAAATGACACATTAGCAGGAGTTTGCATAAATTTGGTCATTTCAGGTATGAGATTGCCTTTCCAAGTTGAGCGAAATTTTTTTTTCTCTCCAGCACTGGACATTTGACTTCTTTTTTTCCTCCCTCTCTCTCATAGTGGAGATTGAGCCCAGGGTCTTCCCACTGAGCTGCATCCCCAGCCGTGACTTGTGATAATCCTGCCTCAGCCTCCGAGGCTGCCAGGATGACAGACATGTGCCACCACATTCAGCTTAAATGACATTCTTTTTAAAAATTTGAGTTTGAAGGGCCAGCCAGAGAGCTTGGTAGATTAAAAGTGCCTGGTTAGGCAGACACAGGGGCCAGGGTTTCTATCCCTGGGCCTGCTGTGCCAGCCCCATCCCCGGAGCACAGTGACATGGCAATTGAGACTGGGCCTGGTGGCACATGCCTATAATCCCAGTGTTTGAAAGACTGTAAACAGGATCACTACCGGTCCAATCTACACAGTGAGACCCTGTAGACCCTGTAAATCCTGCACTAAATACATTTAAAAAAAAAAAAAAGTTGAGTTTGAGAAGAGCTGACTTTTCCTCTATAGATAAAAGTAAAATATTTATGAAAAATGAATGTGTTAAAATAAAATTGCTGCTAATAACTCATTATACATTGGTAAGACTAAAGAATTTTTAAAAGCATAAGCAATATCCAGTTTTAAATGGAAAAACAAAACCTTTAAAATATTCCGTATGTTCTGCTGTATACACTGTGTGACATTTTAACCATTACTTTGTAAAGTTCTACCAGTCAACATCAGTCAGAGAAAATTCCTTCCACTCTCTGTACCTTTCACCCCCAAACCAACATTCTCAACGTTTTAGCATTTAAAGTTTATGGTAATTATAAATGTTGATTTTTTTTGTTGTTAAATTGTACATTTTTGTCCTGCATTATGGCAAGATAAAGAATTTTTTGAGAAAAACAGCAATATGATGAACTAAAAACGTCTCAACATGTAAAAAGACTTTTCACTGAAATTTTTGTTTTGCTAACTTTTCATCACTATCTTTTCATTTTCAGGGTCCTTTGAAGGACAAACTAATTTTTATGAAATCCAGTTTATTTTGTCTTGTCTTGTGCTGTTTAAGAAATCATTGACTAATTGAAGGTCACAAAGATTTGAACCTGTTTTCTTCTAAGAGTTTTACAATTTTATTCCCTACATTTAGGACTTTGATGCATTTTGAGTTAACTGTTATTGGAGAACATAATGTGTATTAGTCAATCCTTAAAATTTTATTGAGGTTTTTTAAAAAAATAGATTACTGCATGATTTATCCTGTCAAATGTTCCATTGTTCTTGAGAACGTGCATTCTGCTATTTATGGGTGGAGTGTTCTGTGGATATCTTTTAGAGTTGCTGGTCTTATAGTGTTGTTAAAGTCTGTTGTCTTTTTCTTTTGTCTAGATATTCTACCCATTATTGAAAATGGAGTGTTGAAGCCTGCATTATTGTTGAATTGACTGTTTTTCACTTTAATGTCAGTGTATTTCAAAGTTCTGTTGCTTGTTACATTTGTGTGTATAATTGTTAAATCTTCTTGATGGGTTGAGCCTTTTTTATCATTATAAAATATTCTTTGTCACTAGAAAAATTTTTTGTCCTAAAATCTGTTTTCTTTGAAACTAGTATGCACACCTTAGCTCTTTTTTTTTTTTTTACTGTTTGCATTTGTGTGACATATATTTTTCCATGTTTTACTTTTGAGCTTTGGGCTATTTGTATCTTTAAATCAAACTTATGACTCTTTTAGACAGCATACCGTATAAAGGGATCATGTTTTGTTTTTTAACCCATCCTGCCAGTCAGTGTCTTTTAATCTGTGTAATGTATTTAATTACTGATAAGGTAAAATTTGTGTCTACATTTTTAAATTAAAATTAGTTTCTTAGTGGTCATCCTGAGACTGCAGTTAACATTGTAATTTATAAGAGCCTGGTTCGTTAGAAAAGCTCAGGACCAGGGTTAAATCCCTGGCCCCGCCCCTGAGTGCACTGAGCCGGCCACCAAGTCCCAATGTGGTGGTGCACACCTGTAATCCTGGCGCTGGGGAGACTGAAGACGGAGCACCACGCTGCGTAGTGAAATGTTGTACCAAATATATAATAAATAAATAAGAACCTGGTTCAAATGAATAGGAGCTGAATTTCTCTAGGGTATTAGGGTTCTCCAGAGAAACGGAACTAATGTGAAATTTATTATAAGGAATTCACTCAAGATTATGGAGGCTAAATAGTCCCACAATATGCTGCCTACAAGCTGGAAACTTAGGAGT